TATACGAAGTTATACGAAATCGTGCCATCCCTGCACGCCTTCACATTTCCTCCCGAATGACGAGAACTGAATCACAGTGGAAACCGTCGGAGCAGAGAAATGATGCTTCTTCCCCAGAAAACCAGAACGCTGCACTGGAAGCTTTTGAGGATCCCACAGCTATCGATTATCCAAAGACTTCCTCAATGAAGGGAAATAAAATAAGAAGTAAAGATATGTGTAAAATGACCCCTCCATGCACCAAGAATTCGGCTCGCATTCGGGACCAGAGAGACATTTGAGTGCGCAAAATTCGTACAGCCATCAGATCAGACGTCCAGCGCGCAAAAAAAGGAGGGAAGAGAAATAAGTAAAAATGGTAAGGTGGAGTCAAGCACGTCAGTTAATTGAGTCATCGTGAATATCCATATCCATATCCAAAACAATTACTAAACGCGCCATCTGTCCAGAGCATATATACGGGACTATTCTGCATAAAGAAGGTGAGCAGCCGAGTAGAATAAGCGGTCTAGAAGTCCTCCATAGAGAGTGGTCTCGGCCTTAAAGGAAAGGAAATTGTGTCTGCGTTTTAGGGGTCGTATATGGGGCAGTGATCGAGACAGGTGTGTTGTCAGCCAGAACTAGGTTCAACTATAGTAATGATCCCACCGATTGAGGAGGAGTCGTGTTGAAGTCCGTGTTGAAATCGTCGGGAGGAGGAAAGGAGCTGTACGAGCTTTATTCCTTGACGATGCGCCATATAAGAATTTCTTCTTGCTCCTTGTGCTTTGCCACGCGGGTCTTCTTGAGATTTATTGAAGCCACTACTCCAGACGATGTAGGCGAACACGAAAAACTGAACAGTGAAGAGCTGCGGCCCTTTTATACGGCTAAAGTGGGCGGGCCGAGCTCAATGGAATACTATGTTGTATTACAACAATCCTCGATCAGCCACCAGATAAGCTTTCTACATGTTACAAATGAGTCAGCAAGATATCTATGAACTAAAGACATACAAATGATTTTACAAAATGAGGATATGATTGCACTAAGTCAAATTCAAGATCATAGAGAAGATTCTCTATACTCCCCGGCGACGAATGCTTGGAGTAGGTGAGGCACGCGGCTGACGATATGTGAGACTTCGACTACGCGATGGTCTGCTACGACGACGCGAATGGTCCGGTGAAGTGTGGCGAGTTCTGCGCGGAGAACGTTGTTGACGGCGTGGACTACGAGCGAGCGGTGATGCAGTCTTGCGGTGCTTTGTCCAACCGAGCTTCGTTTGTAGTTCCCTCTCTTTCTCTTCAGACGCATTTCTTCATCGATTATTCGTACTTTCTCTCTTCATTCCGTCGATCCTGGACTGTCTGCGAGGAGAAATGTCTCGAACCTTCTGCGCTTCTTCTATGCGACGTCTCGTGCTTGACTCGGTTGAGCTCCTTGTGGTTGTCACGGATAGCTTCGCAATACGGCATCGTCCTCTTCGATTCGCTCCTTGATCGTTCTTCAGTATGGTTACTCCGTGACGGCAGAATTCTTCCCAGATGTCGGACGAAGAGCTGACTTCGCTGGAGCTCGACGCTTTCGGTGAAGATCGGCGCCCGAGTTTCTTCCTTCGATCCGGTCGATTTTTTCTGCTTCTTCTGGTATTCCACCGCTGTCGACTTGACCGAGGCCGCTGATGATTGTGCAGAGGCTGACATGCTGCTTCAAACAGAGAAGAGCTGCTTTCTGTCGCGCTTATACACAGAGCACTGTGTGTTGTCCCAGGCGGAGTCGAGATTGTCGTCGAGGTGATTGTACGGTGAAGCTTCAATTTGAATTTGAATTTGACTTTTCCAGCAGAAAAGGCTGGTGACCGTTTCTTCAGGCAAACCATGCTCCATATTGTCACCTTGGATGAAAATATGCGCGATGAATCTGATAGCTCTGGTACAGGCACAGATTAGTGCAAGCACAATTTTCACGCCGCAAGACCAGAAGCAGAGGTATCCGAAAATTATTGCGAGCAGTAATAATCCTCCGGCAAGGGCGAGGGTCTTGTACCACTGCCATACGACGTCCAGTATGTGGTTGATGTCTGGAAAGACTATCTCGTCGTAGACATTGCTTTCTCCTGCGAGCACTTTCAATGCAGAGCTGTGAATCGTCCTCACCCATTGTAGTATACCTGTTATTTCAAAGGTATTTTGTATCGATCCGCATGATATTACGCATTTTTTATGTATGCGGGCTGAGTCATGGTTGAACTGCAACACTGAGGGAGCGCCTTCTTGTTTACAGGGTACTGTGAAAATTTCGTCTTCGCATCGAACTGTAGCCAGTGTTGATGCACCATTTGTAGTGCAGGAAATTGGGGCTACTGCACCTTGCGGACACTTATAGCATCCCTTCGCAATCGAATTTTTCACAGAACAAATTGCGTCTGTAGCGTCCGTGACCGTCGTGTCGTACTTGTCTTTGAAGTGGATCAGTACCTCTGCAGTCGTGAACATAGGAATAGTTGCTTCAACCGTTTTGGGGTGCGAGACCGTATGAGTGAGTGTGATCCATGGACGACGGATCGGGAACCGATTTTCCAGTCGATTCTCGAAATGGTCTGCAATGTCCAAGCTCTTGCACAAACAGTTGACTTTGTTCTCAGCTGGCTGGCAATCGCAATCTGGAAGAACTGAGCAGTTGAGTGATTGTGCTGCTTCGTGCGATTCACACTGCAGAGTTGGCTTGTTGTTCATCTTCCACAGAGCGAAGTTAGTGCTGTCAGATATAAAGGTAGAAGACAACAATGGTGTTGGCGGGACAGTTAATGTCGTTAGGGTGATTCGCATGGCTCCTATTTGAGTTGGAATGGTAGGTTGCAGAGCGAATTTGAACCTTCTTGCTGTCCTTGTCTGTGTGTTAGTAGATGTTAGTTCAAGATGAACAGCTTCTTTCCACTGAGCGCATCTGAATATTTCATAGACTCTGTCACTTTTAGGGACGTTGTATATCCTGTAAAACAGGCATCCGCTCCCAGGCCAAAAGCAGCCGCAACCTGGTCCCCCGCAGCTCTCAACGCAGCGGGTTATTCCTGGATACTTGTTGCTCTCATTAAGTTCGGGAAGCAGTGCTGTTGGGCTGATGTCTTCGCACTTACGTTCCTTACAGGATCCCATGGTTTCGCATCGTTTTGAGTCCATGACTCGTTGTTCCGAGTCTCTTGTGAAGACGAGAGTTTCCTTCGCACATGTTAGGCGCAATCCTTTCCACCTGATACGAACATCTCTTACCAGTGTTTGGTTATAGAGAAGACGAAGGCATGCCTCTTGATGGAAACTGTTCATTTTAAGAATTTCTGTCGCTTCGGTCAGGCATGTTTTCTGTCCTTGAGGAGAAACGTGGCAGATTGTGCTCGGTTGACTGAAAATATCGACTTCTTGGCATGGGTAAACGGCTGATGCCATTATTGCCAGGATAGTCAGCGTGATCAAAGGAGCTCTCAGGAATGCCTCCACGTCTTGTTGACGTCGATGGAACAGCCGCCTTCGAAAGGCTATTCGCACGCATCCTCTCCATATAGTTCTTGCCAGTCGTACCGTGTGAGCCATACACTTGAGTGTTCCCCAACTGAGAATGCGGAATGGTTTTCCAACCACAATGGGGACATAGCAGAACACATAAAGGACTGCTGTCGTCAGATATATGAAAACTGCTATAGCCGCGATGGCTGATCGTGGAGAGCATTCTGGATTGAAAATATTTGCCGTGCATATCCAACAGCGGATATTTTCACAGAAATTAGCGGCTGGGCATATGGCGTTCAGAACAGTAACTTTGCTCCCATCGTACACTTTCCATTGCACCTGGTGTTCATGTAAGGTGACTTCTGGTGCAAACATGATTTCTTCGTGAGGTGTTGGGTGCTCATTGACGAAGCAATCTTGTTCTGAGCACAACTCATATCGTCGTATTCCATCAGAGTTCAGTCGAACTCCTCCCGGTACACATCGAATTTCCGCAACATTAGTGATGGTGGAATTGAATTCTGCATTTACAGTCCCTGCAAGGGCAAGTGCTAGCGTCAATGTGAGAATAAGATTGGATGTCGAGATGGGCTGTTGGTATGATCGCCTTCCTTTAGCTGCTGACCGGAGGTTGTATCGCGGGTTCTGCTTGCTTCCAGCAAGAGTGTCTGCCTCTTGTCCTCGATCATGGCTTATGTGTCGACTGTCAACTGGAGTGGATTCCTCTTTCTTGGCACTCTCGGGTGTGCTGGGGCAAGTGTCATCCTCGAACGAGTCCTTCAATTCTAAGGGGATGAGGAGGTTTATGGGTCTGCGAATAAGTCGTCCATTTGGCAATTTTACTTCTGCTTCGCGTACAACTCCTTCGTCCGTTTTCCTTAAATTCGTAATTCGCCCTATTTTCCATGAATTCCGGGGCAAAATAGGGTCTGATATCAGTACTACAGTGTCGATGGAGGGGGGAGTATTTGTCCCCTTTCGGCCGTGTAAGTTGAGTTGATGTGTTTCTCGTAATGCGCTGAGGTATTCTCGACTCCAAACTTGCCAGAATTTTTCCGTGAACGCGTGGCTATATCGAAGGGCCTGTTCCGCTTGGCGACGCGTTTGTAGTCGTATAGCTTCTTCAGGTGGTAAGTAGTCTGGGTCATCGTCGTCTTGTCCTGCGTATTCCAGGGGGTAGGTAATGACCATATCTCGCTGGATGAAGTCGATAGGTCGCAATATTGGTGCTTCCTCCCATCGTTCTTCTTGGTACGTTAGAGGCCTACAATTCAGACTGCCTTCGATTTCCGTCAGAAGTGTTTCCAGTACTTCTCTTTCCAGGATATTTGTCTTGATGACCTTGTACAGGGATTGTTTCACAGACTTTATCAGCCGTTCATAAAAGGCTCCCTGCCACGGAGCATATGGCGTTATTGTCTTCCAAACAATCCCTTTGGTGGCCATTGACTTTGCGAGTGGAACGTCCTGTGGAATGGCAGCGATAGTATTTCTGAGGATTTCGTCTCCCAATAGCAACGACGGGCCATTGTCTGAAATAATCGTGGTCGGAACTCCTCTGCGGGCAAAGAATCGTCGCAGAGCTAGTAGTAGCGTTGGAGTTGACATGTCGTTTACCAGCTCGAGATGAAGTAAGCGAGTCGTGGTGCAGGTCAATATAATTCCGTAGAATTTTCTGACGACTCCACTGTCTTTGGCTGATAAAGGTCCGAAAAAGTCAATTCCGACGTGTTCAAATGGTCTGCAACGTTGCACTCGGCATCCCGGAAGATCTGGCATTTCTGGATACTTGAATGGCAGATTGTTCATCCTTTGACACGGAACGCACGCTCGGATTACTTGTCGCGTGAGTTGCCGTAACTTCGGAATCCAGTAAGTCTGCCTTACGTTCGCCATTGTATGAGCAACGCCACAGTGTAAAGGCGAATGTGACTCCTGAACGATTAACCGTGCTAGCTCCGACTTTGCAGCAATCAAAATGGGTTGTCTTGCGTCGTAACTCGAACTCATTTTATCCAGCCGTCCTCTACACCGTATGATGCCGTCGTTATCGCGCTGGAGTTTGAGCTGTTTCAGAACTTGTTGTCGTGATTCTGGAAGATGCACTTGTTGATGGTTGCGAAGGAGAATTCGCTGTGCGATCTTTCGTTCCGCTGCCGTCACGTAAGGTTCTCCTGACATCTTCATTATATCGGGAGCATGATTAGCGATACGTGAGCGAAGATCCGCATCAACTCGAGACACTATAGCTTTGATGAAGCGCAGGGCATAAGCCATTGTGGTCTGACATGACTGCCAACTGCTATGCCTTTTCCAGTCCAGTAAGTCTGACACGGAAGCTATCGCAGAGGTGGATAGGTTCACGACGCAGTTCTTGCTGTTTGACTCCTCTATTTTGTCCGGCATTGGGAAGAATTTGACAACTGTTCCCCATTGCTCAGGTGCCAAGCTCAAGAAGTCAGGTCCGTTCCACCAAAAGTGCTGCTTCAATTCGTCTTTATTGAGACCTCGAGTTGCGCAATCTGCGGGGTTGACAGAAGTGGGCACGTGTCCAAATCGCACAGGAACTGGAACTTGTTGAACAATTTGGTGAATCTCTTTAGAGCGATTGTTCACAAAAACTCCTGCTGCCGCATCGTCGTTAGCTCTTGCAATCCAAGTTTAGAGCTATTTCAGAGTCCGTAAGAACGTAGATAGTAATTATTCTCAACTTGCTTTGTAGCGCACGTAGGATGGAATGTGCGAGCCGCGTAGCCATAGTTAGAGCGTGCAGTTCCATCTTTGGTATTGTGGGCTTCTCTTTAAGTCGGGGAAGTTTACCCTTCCCTGCGACGAGATTGCATGATCCTTCTTGTAGCAAATACGCGCATGTGGCCATTGCTTGAGCGCTGGCATCAGAGAATAGAACAAGCGTTGCTGATTCGTTGTTCCTAGCGATATTGCGCTTTATCCGTGTGCGGAAGTCGTTTACAGTGTTCTGTATGAGTTGCCACTGCCTTTCATGTTCAGGGGTCAGGCATGTATCCCATTCATAGTCGGAGCTCCAAAGCTGTTGAAAAAAGAGCTTGGCTTTCAGAGTTAAAGGAGTGAGCCATCCATGAGGGTCGTAAATGGATGCGACCTGTTCTGAAACTGTCCGTTTCGTTGCCTTTTCCTTTGTGGGATACTTGCATACGATGTCCAGTTCATCTTGTTCCGTATCCCACTGCACTCCTAACACCTTTTGGATGGGATTTTTGTTCAGATCTTTACAAGGAATGCTGGTGTTGAAGTCCTTGTCGTTCGAACGGAATTCGCGGAGGTTCATTTGAATCTCGCTGAAGGTGTTCTTCGCTTTCCTGTAAAGCGTGATGGCTTCGGTAGTACTTTCGGTCGTTAGAATCACGTTATCAACATAAGTGTTTTCCAGTAACATTTCTGCGAAGGCTTGATCGTCATGAGTCTTCAGGTGATGATGTATCGTTCCAGCCAAAAGAAACGGAGAGCAATTGAGACCGAACGTAACACGTGTGAATCTGTAAGTGACGAGATTTTCGTTGGTAATAGGTTTTGTGGGGTCACGAAGCCACAAGAAACGTGTGGCGTCTCGGTCTTTGATTTGCAGTCGTACTTGGAGGAATGCTTTCTCAACATCACTGATGATTGCAATGTGTCCTATACGGAAGCGAATGAGCATGTCAGACAACATTGGAAGAATTACTGGTCCACGATGTAAGACATCATTAAGCGACAAGGATCCTTTTTTGCGAGCTGACGCGTCGAATACTACTCGGAGCTTCGTAGTCTCCTTGTGTGGAGTGAGTACAGCTTGATGAGCAAGGTAGTGTACTCGCACGGCATCTTCGGGTGAATTCTCCGTCACTTCTTCGATAATGCCGAGTTGGAGCTGAGTTACGAACGTGTTGTGGTATTCTCTGAGGAGTTCTGGATTCTGCCGCAGTTTCGCCACGATTGTCTCCAGCCGACGAAATGACATCGCTTTATTGTCTGGAAGTTTATCTGCGTCCTTTGTCCATGGCAATTGGACGTAGTAACCGTCCTTTTCTCGTTTAATTGTTTTTTCGAATTCATTCCAGACCTTTTTATCAGCATCTTGACGTTCATGTTCCGTAGGTCCCAAGAATTCGCTAACTCCTGATGTTTCAAAGGCGAAAAACTGTTCCCACATTGAAGTACTGTCCTCAGAGGACGAGTTTACTAGTGAGGCGTCGCTGCAAGAAAAGTCCTCGTGAGAAAGTTCTTGTTCCAAGGCTGTGATCATCTGATGATCCTGCAAACTGACTGGAACATACTCTTCTTTATCCCTTGCGGTGCTCACCTGTGGGAGCGTGGATTCGTCGGACACCGTGACAGCGTTGGTAGGACTTTCGTCGTTCAGAACTCCTGTTCTACCTATCACAAGATGTCCTAGTTTGGAGGGGATTACTCGCAATCCCGAAGGAAGTGTTTGCTGCTGTCCGATCTCATCCTCCAACAATGTGAAGAGGTCACTGCAGCCGAGCAGTATATCCGGCTTTATGTTGGTTGTGTTTGGACGAATGGACAGAGCTATATCGTTCTCGAAAAGGAACTTTTTGTCGTCTGGTGTGAGCATGCTTCGTTGTATCGGTTCTGTGAGAACTTCGATTCTAGTCACAGAGTAGCTATGCGGTACTCCTTGTCGGTCCCAAATTTGCACCTTAGAAATGCCGCACGTTTTCGTAATGGGCGTTTTTGAGCCAAAAGTGCAGATTTTCAGGACTGTTCTGTCGAGCTCTGGTAGGTGGAGTCGGTCTGCAAGGTTATCACTTATGAACGAGCGGTCTGCTCCTGAATCGAGCACAACTTGAACAGACTCCAGTGTTTGCGTTTCCGGATTGAGTACTTGCGCTTGTCCGACAAGGATTGGCATTTCTGACCGTTCGAGGTTGTTACTCACGTGTAGCACAACGTTGGATCCACATTCGTCCTGGTTGTTCGATTCGGAGGTGACACTGTGCATTTTTGCTGTGGTTTTCCGGATTAAACCGGTTTTGGATGAGCTCTTCTTAGATACTGGAGCTACTTTGGAAGAGGAAGAAACGGTAGCTGTGGGTGTTTTGGTTGAAGCGAGCGCTGCCTTCTTGCAGATAGACGTATGATGACCGAATTCGTCGCAGAGTCTGCAGTTCCCTCGAGCGCATTGTGGTGAAAGGTGACCTTGTTCTCCGCAATTCCAGCAGAGGTTCTTCCTTTTTAGAACTTCGATCCGTTGCTCTCTAGAGGGCACTTCCTTGCACTGCTTGGGGGAGTGTCCTCCTTTGTTGCAGTAGAAGCATTCTGCGCGAATCTTGTCCTTCATGTTTCTGCGGCCCCGTTCTGCTTGGCTAGGCTTCGCGGCATCGTTAACGGTGTGGCGTTCGAATATAGGTGTCTCTGTACTATGGAGGATCTTCGACTCGTCCCTGATGTAGTCCTTAGCAGCTATCAGCAAATCATTGGTGTCCCATTTTGTATGCAGTGGATGGTGTTGTTGCTGTCGCAATATGTGCCTTTGCACATCTATCGAGAATTTTCTGAGCAGCTGCTTCTGCAGAAAAACGTTGTCCACTTGTTCCCCTTTGAGTCTTAAGCTGGCTCACGAGAGATGTGAGACGTTCGCAAAGGTTGCCCTGGTCTTTAAGACTATCACTCGATGCTCGCGTATTCTGCAGTCGTTTGAGAAGTTCGTCGACAAGTGCTTGGTGGTCACCGTATTTCTCCTGCAAGTAGGCGATGACAACTGGGTAAGTGTGACGAGAGACTTCGTACTGCTTCACGCACTCCCGTGCCTCTCCTTGGAGGGCATCCATCAAGTAGTTCATCTTGTGTAAGTCGTCCATATCTCGAGAGTGTACCGAGTGATTGAAGGCTCCCCAGAATGTTTCCCATTCCCATATCTTGCCGTCGAACTTTGGAATAGGAACTGGAGCTAGCGGCACTGTCGCGGATTCTCTCCATGCGGGTGTACCGCTATGTCTTTGACCTGCTCTGAAGTGGCATTCCACGCGCAATTTGGCTAACATAGCGTCCGCATTTCCGAGTAGTTCTTGAGCTGCCTCACTATTGCCAGCGACTTTCTCGAGAATATCGGAGGACATTGGCGTATCTGGATTCAGATTGTCCGCAGCGATGGAATAGTTTTCCAGTGCCTTGTCCACCGCTTCTATGTCCGTCTCGATGAGCTGTATGGCTCGTTGAATCTGCCATTGGTGATCCCGTAGAAGCCTCTGTTCCTGGTCGGCATCCCTTATGTCAGCCGCATTTGCGATGAGGTCGTCTTGAGCTTTCAGCGTGTCCTTGAGCCGGTTGCAGGCTCGCGTGAGCAGTCCTTGACGGCTTGAAAGGTTCGTAGTCATCTTCCTCAGATTGTCCCGGGTTCGATCCTGCTCGGCTTCCGATGCACCATATAAGAATTTCTTCTTGCTCCTTGTGCTTTGCCACGCGGGTCTTCTTGAGATTTATTGAAGCCACTACTCCAGACGATGTAGGCGAACACGAAAAACTGAACAGTGAAGAGCTGCGGCCCTTTTATACGGCTAAAGTGGGCGGGCCGAGCTCAATGGAATACTATGTTGTATTACAACAATCCTCGATCAGCCACCAGATAAGCTTTCTACATGTTACAAATGAGTCAGCAAGATATCTATGAACTAAAGACATACAAATGATTTTACAAAATGAGGATATGATTGCACTAAGTCAAATTCAAGATCATAGAGAAGATTCTCTATACTCCCCGGCGACGAATGCTTGGAGTAGGTGAGGCACGCGGCTGACGATATGTGAGACTTCGACTACGCGATGGTCTGCTACGACGACGCGAATGGTCCGGTGAAGTGTGGCGAGTTCTGCGCGGAGAACGTTGTTGACGGCGTGGACTACGAGCGAGCGGTGATGCAGTCTTGCGGTGCTTTGTCCAACCGAGCTTCGTTTGTAGTTCCCTCTCTTTCTCTTTCAGACGCATTTCTTCATCGATTAGTTCGTACTTTCTCTCTTCATTCCGTCGATCCTGGACTGTCTGCGAGGAGAAATGTCTCGAACCTTCTGCGCTTCTTCTATGCGACGTCTCGTGCTTGACTCGGTTGAGCTCCTTGTGGTTGTCACGGATAGCTTCGCAATACGGCATCGTCCTCTTCGATTCGCTCCTTGATCGTTCTTCAGTATGGTTACTCCGTGACGGCAGAATTCTTCCCAGATGTCGGACGAAGAGCTGACTTCGCTGGAGCTCGACGCTTTCGGTGAAGATCGGCGCCCGAGTTTCTTCCTTCGATCCGGTCGATTTTTTCTGCTTCACCTACTCCAAGCATTCGTCGCCGGGGAGTATAGAGAATCTTCTCTATGATCTTGAATTTGACTTAGTGCAATCATATCCTCATTTTGTAAAATCATTTGTATGTCTTTAGTTCATAGATATCTTGCTGACTCATTTGTAACATGTAGAAAGCTTATCTGGTGGCTGATCGAGGATTGTTGTAATACAACATAGTATTCCATTGAGCTCGGCCCGCCCACTTTAGCCGTATAAAAGGGCCGCAGCTCTTCACTGTTCAGTTTT